AAAATTCTCAATATACAGTGGAACCTCCTGTCATGAATGCCTCTCATCAGTAACAAATCTGTTCATGGACGAATTTTCCAAACAAAAATTGTTTTGGGTGATGAACAGTGTCTCTAGCAACGCACATGCACACAAACACAAGCCTGCTAGAAGCCCGAAGTATCAGCAGGAGAGCATTATCCATACACAAATTTGCCATCTGGTTTGTGTTATTAAATTTAGGTTCCATGGGGCCAAAGAAGAATGATAGTAGCAGAGTGAAAAGAAAAAATGACAAAATGGAAGAAGAGAAAGAAGAAAGCTCGGAAAAAGTTTTTTTTTTTTTTATTTTTTTTTTTTTTTTTAATGATCTCCCCTGCAGTAATGTCTCCTCTTCCTCACTACTGTCTACTTACACCATCGACTCTCCTCCATACAAATACGGTAAAATTAAATAAAATTTTCATCTATATTTTATATGTTCAGTATTGGGTTTATCTTCTTTGTGTTAGTTTTAATGATTTTCATTGGTTTTGTTTATGAACTTGTGCACAATTTTAAAAGTTTAAATAAGCAATCGTCTGGTGTGCAGTAATGAATTAATCCATTTTTACATTGATTCCTACAGGGAAAATAATTTTGGCTTATGAACATCTTTGGTCACAAACGGTTTTCAGAAACAAATTCATGAACTGAGGGTCTATTATATAATTGGTTTTAAAATATAACAGTTTAAACTTTTCTTTGTAAAAATTGCTGTAATGACTTTTGTAATCTTGTCATCAGTTTTATAATACATGAAATCTGAGAACACAAGATATAAAAATCTTACCTAAAGGCAACAATTGATTTAATGGAAATCAAGCAACAGGTACTATCTATTAACTATCTATCTGTTCCCAATAAGTAACTGTAATGAAATTTAGAATGATTAGAAATCAACTATAGCATCTTATTCAAAGTATATATCATTTAAAAACTAAATTCTCACCTGCCAGTAACCAATAGCCTGGTGAACAGACACACCTTTCTGTTATATTAAGGGTAGTTTGAAGTACACTCTAATATGTGTGGTAAAGCTTACGGGACATGAGACCTTGTTATTGCTGAAACTTGTTTTAAAAAAAAAAAAAAAAAAAGTAAATTTTGTATTGTATTTTATATTTTGTGGTAATGCAAAATAAATGCTCCATATGAAAGTAAAAGTATATATAGTTTTTCATTGCTTTCAGTTTCAGAAATGAATCCAGAAGGGAGGAGATAGTAATTTTCTTTGTGCTCTGATTTACACTATAGTTTTTGTTTTTAGTTTTTTAATTCTGAAATTATGTAATTAATATTATTGTAAATATTTGTTTTTCATTTTTGCATAATGTTTTTTTTTTTTTTTTTTTCAAATTCAGAATAGCTTAAACATCATTGTATCTGTTGGTACAATTGAAACCTGAACATGCTTGCTTTTAATTTGTTTGTGTTTTCTCCAGATAAATTACAATATCCCCTCTCTCTCTCCTTCATTGTCTTTCCTTCTTTGTCTTCATTTTTTTTTTTTTTTTTTTTTTTTTTACTGTTGCTGCTTTTTCATTACTTTTTCTTGCATATATTTAGCCAAGAAGGATGTGTAATCTTTATAATTTGATCTGGAAAAGCTGATAGTTGCTACATCTTATAACTGAAAGTTTAATATTAGTCTAAAGTTGTCATTTCTGAAAATATGCTGTAAACATCTCGTAAGCTTGTAGTTTTTGTACTATTTCCCTACTTGTGATTGTTAAATGTTTGGAACAGGCTCCCATGGAAAGGTTCAAATTAAACCAACTTTACCATAAGGACATACTTTGATGAGAATTTAATAAGAATCAAACACTTTAGCAATAACTTGAATACTGTTCTAGCACAGGTGCTCCTAGTAAGTTTGCTTCTTTCCCTTCCTCCTTCTACTTCCTCATTATTATTTTCTGTATCATTTACAAGAATTTATTCATTGATCTATTTTAATTGCATATATATTAAATATTTCAATGAAATGAGATAAATGAGCAAGTTGAGATATATACAGTATATTTGGGAAGCAATTGTTCTTTTACACATGTATTGTTAAAAACAATTGACATTTTGTGTCTATTTTATATATATATATATATATATATATATATATATATAATTTCCTAATGGACAAATTGGCCAAAATTAATGTTATTGTCCCAAGCTTTTGACTCGCAAGAATCATCATCCATTGGGGTAGGAGTGGGGGGACAATAAAAGAAAATTAAATGCTTTATGAAATAATTTTATTTTTTTTATTTATTTTTTAAATAAATCAAATGCATCAAATTAGTCCTATGGCACCAACATGTAATGTTTGGAATAGTAAATAACATTTGGAATATATTCATTTACTTTTTTATTTTATTATTTATTTTTGCATTATTTATTAAACAGATTATTACACATTAGTATCACAGGAAAAGCCATTAATTGCTGCAGTTGATTTATTTCTCAGAAAATATTAATACTTTAAAAAAAAAATAAAGATACAATTTACTTCTTAAAACATACTTAATTATCATTTCTCATCCTCGCGTTACATCAAATCAAGAGTCAAAATTCAGCACATGAATTTTGTCCTATTTACCCACACACATTTGCAAAATGATATTCATTAGGAAAAAAAAAAATGAAACCTTAAATATAAACCTAAAATATCTACTGTTCCTCTCTCTCATGCACACACACACACACACACACACACACACACACACACACACACACACACACACACACACACATAAGTGGACAATAAGGTCAAGATCGATTGGTGATAGTCTTTCATTCTTGTAAGAAATCTTCAGGTCATATGTGTTGTGTAGTGGCTTGACTAATATATGCCAGTCAATGGGGCAATATGGTTAGCAAGGTTAGGTATTTCCAGTTTATTGTATTATCCTAATGGTTATAAGGGTAGGCAGCAAAGGTTATATTTCAAATTACTCTAAAGTCTGTTAAGCAGAAATAATTGTGGGTCAAAAAGCAGTATATTTGTAGCTATTACTTGAGTATTTTGTATTTATTCATTATTTGTTGGCTATTATTATTATTATTATTATTAAATTTACTTTGATTATGTGTGCATTTGTAGTTTAATTAGTTTTCTTTTGGGGGCTTGTTTATCTTATTTGTTTAGACAAAAACCAATGCATTAAACTAAAGTATGTTACATTATTTGAGTTTTAATGCATATATTTCCATTTTTAAGTTTGATAATGTACTAAAAATTTTTTTTTTTTTTTTTTTTTTTTTCGTGCCTGCATTTTGAGATAAGTTCTGATCATTTATTTAGTAAATTGTGATTAGGCAAAGTTTACTGCTTTCGGATTTATTATTCTAGGCTGATACTGTTTTCCTTATTTTCCATGAGATTTTTGGTGTATTTTGATTTGTTTTTAATTTCCTATATGTTTAGAAAGATTTGTGCTCTTCATGTATTTACTAATGGTAAAGGAAGTTTTGTGTCCATAGTTTCTGAATTCCAGGGTCCTTCTGTTACTCTTATGTATATTTTTTGTTTGTTATATGTTTTTATAGTGACTTGGTATATTATATTGTTTTGCAAGCAATTGCCATTTAAGGAACGTTTGTGCATTGCTCTACAGTTTGGTTTGGTTTATGCAGGTAATTTGTTGGTTATTTTCTGTTCTTTTTATTATTTGTGTCACATTTTCAGTGCAACTAGTTGATTTTTACTGCTTCTGTTGAATATCTTGTGGAGAGTGATGGGAGGAATTGTTGGTGGATGAGTTTAATGAATATTTTTCCTCCACTAGTTTTTACTTTTTGTTGTATGGTAGGTTAAAATGTTTCTTTTTCTGTCTTTTGCGGTGTGTATGCGAGTGTTGTTGAAAATCCACTATTTTTAGGTCTGTTTCATAATCATATTTGATTTCATTAAAGATGGCTTTGTTAGACTTATCAGAAATCTTGCAGGTAATTGATTGTAGAATCTACTTGATTATTGTTGGTGAGTGGTTGGAAGATGTTTATGTAAAGTGGTTTGTTGTTGGGTTTTCTATATGGCTGATAATATCTTTTCTTAGGTTGAGTGTGACATCTAGGAAATCTAATTCTTTAAGGTTTGATGTGATTTTTTTTTTTTTTTGTTTTTTTAATGTCTGTTGAATCCTAAATTAAAAAAAAAAAAAATTCTGATTATTTTTCTGTTTTTGTCTGTTGCTGTTTTTATCTTATATTTACACATGCTCTATCCCTGGTATTGAGCACTTTTACTCATACATAAATGTAGCATATCTTAAAATTAATATATATAGTATAGAAAATTAGATCAGCCAATTCCGGCTGATCTCTTAATTTTCTATACTTAAAAGTTCTACATGTTAAATTTTTATATTGTTACTTAGCACTTTTTAAATACTGTTTCCTGGTGTAATTCAACTCTGACCATTAACTTTTTATTATATAACCTTAGCCATTATTTTAAAAACAAAAAACAAAACAATCTATCCTGTTAAATATATACTTGGTTTTTGCCCATATACTGTTGAAATACTAGTTCATGTACAATTGCTTGGATGGGTGAGTGGTGTAATGGATAATGGCTCGGAATTGTTTAGCAGAATACCCTTGAGAAAGGTATGAATCTACCTATTCTCTCCTAGCTATGGATTAATTAGTAAGACTTGTATCACTAAATCATTATTGTCTCCAAAAATAATTCTTACAATCTAAAAATATTTTCTTCCTTTAAATAACCTAAAGAGTTAAGCCATAAGAAAAAACAAATCCATCACAAATATATGCTTTTATGGTACTTTATTTGAAATTTGGTTATGAGTTTTTTGTTCAGACATCTTTATTCTCATTATGGACTGTTTATCTTTGTATTTTCTTAAGAAATTCAGTCTAATATTTATATATCTACTCAGATGTGCAGATTCTTCAGATTTAGACACCTTTTCTCTTTTAGATTTATTTTTAAGTCTTATTATTACTCTTATTTATTGCAGGCCATCTTCCTCAGAAACAAATGGATTACCGGAAGCGATACCGCACCCTAGCATCCACCTATGTCACATACAGTCCAGATGGGTCAGAGCTGTTAGTTAATTTAGGTGGTGAACAAATTTACCTGTTTGATGTAAATAAGAAGAGAAAACCACAGAAGTTTGATATGTCCTTGGTCCTTGGAAGCACAAATGGCATTGTTAAAGGTATATAAACAATTTGTAATTATTATTGATCCTTTAAATACTTGGATGTTTTCATTTTACTTATGGGAGAAATTTGAGCTTTGTACTACTTGTTATATGTATGAGTATGCCTTTTCAGTAATTCAGTTGATAGTGTATTAGACTATTGATTAACCCATTAATGTCCACCATAAACTCTGGTATTATGTTCCTAAAAATATCCATTGTTATAGTATAATTATAAAGAAAAAATTGATATTTTAGGTTTCTATCTATAACTCATTAATGCCCATCAGCCCATTTTTTGGGGATAATAGGTTATGCTTATTGTTCAGTCTCCATTATTAAGTTAATGATTCTTATATTTACTTCACTTCAATAGTAATCTGAATTTAGCAAGATTAATAGTGCTTTTTAAGAAGGTCCAGAATTAATCTGATTATGACTGGCTACTGTTTTCTAAGTGCCCTGAATTGGAGATTAGTAATCCATAAACACTTGCTGGCATTTTTCATCTTTTTAAAGTTCATATTTGAATTTCCTAGTCATAGAATAAGATAAAGCATGGCCAAAAATATACCAATCTATCAATATTAGGATAAATGAATATTGGTAAAATTAAAAGACTTTGTAATTAAGCACATTAGTCTTGCATCTTTCACATATAGTATCCAGTCTTTTATTAATTTTTGTAGTAAGTTAAATGTGTAGGTAACATAACAGATTTGGAAATTGGAATTAGCAAGCAGAGTTCAAATTCTGATATTGTTGCATTCACTTCCACATTAATAGCCCTGGAGAAGATATGAATCTCTTCTCCTTTTCAGCTTTGCGTTAAATAGCAGTGTAGATTGGGCTCTCTAGATCTGAGTGGCAACACCATCTAGAAGGACTATTCTGAATTCATGGCCGTTTGGTGGTAGGAGAGGAGTAATCTCCTCAAGAATAGATCTGGTCAGGGATTACTCTTTGCATCTTGTAACTTGATACAACCTATCACAAATTACTTGGAGATGGGTGCCTCCAAGTGATTCCCATTGTCCATGAAATGCAATCTGACCATCTAATAGGTTATTAGTTGAATCAACCAACAGACTGACTAAAGTTATGAGAATTTGTCATTGTTTCAATCTCGAATCATTAATTGGTTTAAAAGAGAATTACATAAAAAGCTTAAGTGTTGTGCTATAGTAAAAGGAAAGAAAGTTTTATGCTTTTTTTTTTTTTTTTTTTTTTTTTTTAAATATTCATCTTTCATCAGTGGTGTATAAATAAGTAAAGTCAGATAACTTATAATTTTCTTAAGAGATTTTCTTTTCTTTTATTCATTGTTCCTGGTTAAAAATAGCTAAGTTCACTTTTATTTATTCATTTTTATATTTTCTTATTTAAATTCATCACATTAAATGTGACGTGTAAATGTCTTGTAGTTTCATGTATAAATTAAAAATCAAAATTTAAACTTTTCTTGACCAGTTCTTGAGCTACAATTAAGACTAGTCTATTATTATTCATATATTTTAGGTCTTGTTTTCATTTAACTTTGTCTTCTCATAGAGGCAGCATTCTCAAGCAATGGTTTTAGTTTCCCACACCGAACCGGTACCAATGGGGTAAGGACACCCCTTGTGCCCAAACCAAATTGTCCAACGTCCTCTACTTCCTCTTGGCCAACCTCACTACAAGCAGAAGATGAGTCAGAAAAATATAAAAATAGAACTGGAAAAAGGTAAATGATTGTTTTCTTCATTTACATTGTTTAGCTTTCTAACCAGTCATAATCTCTATTTTATTATTAATGATAATAATAATAATGGCTTTAGATTATCTTCTCCTGTGATTAGTACACTAACCTTGTTTTCTACTAAATTTATTAATGAACTTTTATAAGTGTTTAAAAAAAAATGTTGAATCTTTGCTATCTATTTTCTAGGCATAAGCGAGATTCAAAACATCTCTCTCCTCCAGTTGAAGCTCTTAAGCGGAAGGCTAACAGTTATTTTGAGAAAAATCAATGTACAAAAGCCATCATCTTGTATAACCAAGCCATCTCAATGATGCCCCATGCTTCTGTTCTTTATGGCAACAGGGCTGCAGCCTATATGAAAAGGAAATGGTATGTTTCAGAGATCACTTCGGGCTACATTTAATAAGCTGTTGTTGCTACGCAAGAAATGTAAACTTATGTTTTTTGTTGGTGTTTTTTGTGTGTGTAATAAGGAAACTTATTTTTGTAATGTGGAAATTAACCCTGAGAATTCTGATGTGCATTCAAGCCTTTTATCAATAGAAAACTTTATAAATATTGTGTTTTTTTTTTTTTTTATTTTGTTTTTTTTTTTAAATGTATAAATATTTCTTACTACTAGAAATGTTAAAAATTGTGGCTTTTAAATTTAGTAACATGTAATATAGGTACCTCCACTGAATTTTTAAAAATGAAGAAACATTCTTGAAGATTTCATTTCAGCTTTAATTGAAAGCTAAATGATTACATTTACTATTTCCAGTAAGTAAAATATTCTGGTGTATTTCAAATAGATATTATATAGACTGGAATATCAACTTTTTGGCTGATTTCAGAATACAAGTGACAATTTTCTTAATTTTAAGAAATATGTAGACTAAACAAAATTATCGGGTTTTCAAATTCTTCCAAAAATAAAATATATATTTGTGACATGTTATTTGAAAAAAATTAGTAAACTTAAAGTTAAATTAATCTTATTTGAAGTAAATATTACTTATAGCATAAAAAAGTAATATACAAACATTTCTTAATGACAGGTCCTGTTTTTCTTTTATCTTTATTGATGTATTAAGTTCCAAGGTGATGACAACTAGAATGGATGACCAGAATTGACAAATTTATGAAATCTAAGTGAATATTTTTTTTTGTTTTTTAACTACCTAGTAATTTTTACAAATTAACATGTTTTCAGCAATTATTTAATATTTTATTGACTTTTAGTTATGTTTCAAGATGCTTCATGAAATTTGGGTTTTGTCTCTAGTTTTTATCTTAAGTTTACTAACTTGAACAAAAATTACTTAATTGAAGTATGACCCAAACTAAAATAAATACATAAAATAAACATATTTAGTGAAATAGTAATTAAAAAAAAAAGTAAACTTACCTTGAAATTTTGAAGGAATGATTTGCAAAGGCGTTAACAATGAAACAGAACTAAATGATGAAAGTGAAAGAATTGCAGAACACCTCTTAAATATCATTTATGGATTACCATAGTTAGAAATTGGGAATGTTTCTACACTAAAATTTTTTTTTAATGCTTTTAAAAATATTGTGTACAAACAATTGTTATGAGCTTTGCAATTTTTGATTTGTAAATGTAGTTTTTTTACTTAATAACAATATAATCTAACTGCCTTGAAGTAATGCAGAATTTTAAACAATTTTTTAGTATTATAAATTATTTAATTAAAATTTTATAAAAATGCAAACAATTCTTGTAAAAATTAATTATTCATTAAAAAAAATTTTTCTTAATAATGTCCTTAATAAATTTTATTTATAAAAGCAATTATAAGTTTTTCTAATTAAATATTATAATTTTATTGCATTTTTTATTTTAAAATTTAGAGCAAATTTTTGGTGAATGGGTTAATTGTTTAAAAAAAAAAAAAAAAAAAATTTGATGATTTACATTCTCCAAGGAGTCCTGCTTTTAACTAAGAATAAAAATCCCTGCCTTAAAAATTGAATTTCTTGAAATTTCATTAAATATATTTAAAAAAAAAAAAAATTCAAAAATAATTTCATTCATTTCTGAAAGTCTCATTAAAATCCAAATTTGGTGTTTTTTTTTTTTTTTTTTTTTTTTGTAAGAATTTCCAAATCAGTGTGTTTTTCACTGGAAAAAGATGCAAAAAACTAATTGTAATTATTACGCCCACTGCTGACATAAACAAAACAAAGATTTTTGAATGTGCCAGAAAGGATTAAAAAATTTCAAAAAATAAAAAAATATGCTTTGATCTCTCCTCTTAATAACAAATATTTTGATGACAAAACTTTGTTTTTATTGAGTTTGAGGCCTTTTTTTATCATGCTATGCTCTTTTTCCATGAAAAAGTTGAGGTACCTAATATCATCTCACACTTGATGTAGGAGTGTCCTATGAAAGATAATGTCGTCTGATAATATTGTTTAACAGATCCAATAAGTCCAACATTTTCCAATATTTACAAAAAGAAAACACTTTTGATATGATAACTGTTAATAACGTGTCTGTCAAATACATGTTTGCTTTAAATACTTTCAGGTACAGTTTAATGATAGAACTGTAGGATATTCACTACTGCTTCTTTTGTGGGTTTGATAAGATAGTTTTATTTTGTTTTTTTTTACAGTGATATTCACCCTGTGTAATGCCCAAGCACCACTTGAGGTAGAGAGTTACAGAGTAAGAGGCACTGTTTATGAGGATATGTGGGGAAGATAACAGCTGATCATAGACTTAAACAGGTCAAAAATGTAATGATTGGGAAAGCATCATATTTAGTCATTAATATTTTTCTACTCTCCTCCTTTTAACATCTTTCTTATTATCCCAAAAATATACAGGTGAGAAAATGATTACCATGAATGTAAAATATATTAAGGATTTTTTTCGTTTTTATACATTTTCTGGATTACTCTTGGGCAATAATAATATTTACTACTAAGAGGCTGAAATTTAAAAAAAATGCAATGAAAGTAAAAAAAAAAAAATGTACTTGATAAAGTCATAGTATTTATTTGCTTGGTACTAAATGACCCCTTTTATATAAGGGCATCATAAACCTGCATTCATTGATTTATTTTTCTTTATGAAAATTTTAAGAAATTCTTTGACTAAAAGGGTTTCTTGAACATTTTTACCTTCAGGTTTCATTATTTGCTCTTACTTCAACTTGAATACAAAACTTTGAAAAACAGTGTAGCCAAAGATTTTAGGTAAATGCCTGTATGGTTTGGAAACCTTTTATTCTTTTTTTTTTTTTTTTTTTTTTCTCTCTGATCCTTAAAGGCTGGAAGCACCCAAATGCACTTGCAAGTCATAGTATTAACATTTGCCACATGATCAACTAGAGGTGCTGGAAATCTACAACTTTATAAAAATTATTCACATGCTAGGAAAAAACAAAAAAAATGATCGATAAATTTACTTGACATAAAATGTCTATTATTTTTAAGACATGTTTACAAGAATAGTTGCTACCAAAATATACTGAGATTATAAAAGCTATAGATTTTGAAATCCCTATCTCATAACCAGTCACATCAAGAGGATTAACATATATATCTCAAATTTCTGTATCTCGGAATTGTTAAACTTTTATCCTTTCAATTTTTATTTCAGTAAAACTGTTTGATAGTGAATTAATTTTTATGCAAATAAATTCTCTCTTGTTGCAGGGATGGGGATCTTTATGCTGCCTTGCGAGATTGCCACAGTGCTCTCCAGCTTGACTTCAATTATTTAAAGGCACACTATCGCCTTGCCCGATGCCTCTATGAACTGTCATGGCCACAAGAGGCACATGACTGTCTACAACAATTCAAAACTAAATTTCCAGATTATGCAAAAAACAGTGCTTGTGAGGCACTTGACCGAGATATAAAAGCAGCAATGTTCTCAAAAACTGATCATGGTAAGTTGGCCAAAAAAGAAAAAAATACATCTATATAATATTTCTGCGTTTTCTTTTTTTTTTTTTTTGTTTGTTTTTTTTTTTGTGGGAGATTATTATTGTATTTTTTTGTGGAAGAAAGCATACATATTAGGTAGGATTGTAATTCTTTTTTTCTCTCTTCCAGATATTAATATACCTGTAAATTATTTCATGTTAAGAATGGAATCTATTATTTCTAGATGACAATATAAAAATAGAATTCTTGAATTTGAATTGTAAAATTGTTTTTAAATTAATAGATTATCATTTTCTTTGTTTATTCTCCTGGAAAGAACTGTTTTATCTTTCATTTATTAAATTGTATAATTTTTAAATGTGAAAATGAACTAAAAACTAATTATTTTAAATATTCCATAATTATTAAAAAGATTAACAAACCATTTGAATAGGTAATTTGATATTTTACATGCATATATGCATTTTTATTTTTGTGTGGATGGACAGGTGTTTAAACAAACTTGAATTATCAAAATTAACAAGTATTTTCTGCTATTTACTCTTCAGATGAAGCCAGTTTTCTGTCATCTACAAATTTACCATTTTGTTAAATTATGCAATGTACAATTTTAATTTTTCCTGTTGCCTTGTCACTGCTTACATGACCTTATCTTCCAGATGATTCTGAGGCAGGCAAGAGTGAGAGTGATGCATCTTCTCGAAAGAGGGTGGCAGCCATTTCTGAGCAAGAGAAAGTGTGGCGTAATGATGCATATGATTATGAAATGAGATTCTGTGGGCATTGTAACACAACCACAGATATCAAAGAGGCAAACTTCTTTGGAAGGTAAGGCTTCCCTCAACACCTACACTAAAATAATTATAGCATTTAAAAGTAACAATGTTTTACTTGCACAAATGTGTATTTCATTATTTAAAATTGTAATCACTGCTCAAATAATTTTAACATGTCCTGCTTAAAATAGAAGATATTGTCAAAAGATTGCTTCAAATGAGAAACCTATAGATTTGTGTTTTGATAAATTTATATTTCTTTTTAATAAATCATTTTATTATTATATTTTTTTAGCAGCTTTTTACTGTTTAATTTTGTAAATATTTAATATTCTCTAAATTTTTTTATTCAGAAAAATTAAATGATAAAATTACACTGTTTTCAAGCCATATTATTATTGGTTCTGACCTGGCATCTCAACTTCAGTCCCTTTCCCATCACCATAACAGTCTCCCTGTGCCTTTTCTAAAAATACTTACATGGTAATTGTTCTGAGGAACTTTCTACTATGGCACCTAGACCTTATGAATTTACTACATTGGTGGAAAAGTCTCATCATTTACAGTTGAAATGGCTAGATATAACCATATGTTCTATGCTAACTGTTTTTTCTATCATACTTCTCTTTTGTAAAACCTTTTCAGTTTCTTGCTTCCCAGTCAACTTTGATCTTCAAAAATTTAAATGCTATATCAATTCTTATCTTCTGTTCTTTTATTGTCTTCTCTCCTTAATAGTAGCTTTTATTCTAACACTCAGTAAATCATTGCATTCTAGTGGCTTATTACCTTGCTTGGGGTGAAATGATTAAAAAAAATGGCACTGCAAATTTTGTTTGAACAATTGAATTCCTGTTACGCGTTATTTTTTTTTATGCTGTTACTCTTTTTTTGTAAAGAAATAGTTTTTCCTTATATATTATTACACCTGATTATATTCTTTGGTTCTCCACAAATTTCTATTCTTATTGTATTTTTTATGTATAATTTGACCCTGTAGTACAGCCATTCTTATGTTTGTTTTTTTTTTTTTTTTAAGAAGTTGTCATATCATCTATCAAAATCTCAATGATGTACTTATATTTCACTAAAATAATTTTTCACGGTTTTAAAGACTGGAAACAAGCAGGACATTTAGCCATTACATGTTTCTTCTAATTTCCCTTTCAAAACTTATTTATTGTAATATTTTGCAATTTAAAATGACAAGTACTAGTGTATAATATTTATTTGGCTATATAATTATGTCGGGGGTCTCTTTTTGCATTGTTTTATTTTGAAGCTTTCAAACAAATTGAGGGAGAAAAATCACAGAGCATGGGAATTATGGCCCCATTCTTGAAGTGTAAAAAAAAAAAAAAAAAAAAAAAAAAAATAAGTACATAATTTATGCAATAGTTAAGCTTTTGTAACATTAATGTTATAAAAACATGACTGGTCACTTTTGTAATTTTTTAATCAATTTCAATGAATTTCCTGTCTTTGAGACAAAAAAACATTCAATTACACCGATTTCAAAAGCACAAATATTAGTGACATTTCAAATACTTTTTGCAAGCAATTGTTATCAACACCTGCCTACTTTGTGTTTTATTATCTACTAGCAGCATGGCCTGGCATTGCCTGTGCTTGATTCAGAAATCGTACGACTCATACAGCAATCGCTGTCACTTGACTTAAAATATTTTTGCCCTTCATTGTCTTTAAAGGAGTGCCCTTTTGCCGTGCTGGTGTTGCTACATGCCTTACTTCTTGCCTATCTTCAAGACCGCAAATTTTTTCTAAGCTCTATACTAAACATTAAATCTGTTACTTAAAAAAGAACTAAACAAAATGAACAAAAAATGATCAGCTTTAAAAAGGACTTTAACAACATACTTTTTCACACCCAACCCAGTTCTGCGGAATCAGAATCAACGTTGAGTTTAAGCAAGCGAATGAGCCAATTGGAGTAAAGTGCCATGCAGATTTAAATTTCTTCCCACTTGTGACGAATGCAGCTATTGATTTTTTTTTTTTTTTTTTTTTTTGCATACTAGTTAACATTCGTGTCAGTCAGCTGTTGGCTCTCACGCTGGCCAATAGAATCTTCCTGCCTGTTCATGGCAGCCAGCTATAGGCTCTCACTTTGGCTAGTAGAAAATGGCTGCAAACTACATGAAAACTACTGTAGAAGCATGAAAAAATCGATTATTTCCACTATCGATGGGAGTTGGGAAATGTAAAGTTGGTCTTGGCCTTCCCGCTGACTTTGTGCATGTAAATTTTGGTGCAAATCCGTCAAAAATTGCGGCTATGCATTCATTATACACACACACCATGCTTTTTATAGATAGATTGTGTTAAATAGGTGTATTTGCAATCTTGCTGTTTCAAATAAGAGGTTTTTTAAGCTAAGTAAACATTTCAGAAAATGTATAGTTGTGTATAATACAGCACCCTTTTTTGCCTTTAATTTTCATTCAAAATTTCTCATATTATACATGAAGAAATCCAGTAAGATGACAAACATTGCTATCCCTCCCATTTCCTGTTCTGCCATTCCATTTACACAAGCTCATTAAGTAGGTTTTGCATTGATTTCTTCTCTCTCATGCCTTCCACTCCCTCTTTCCTTATTGTGTGCCAGAAATTTCAACTTTCTCTTTCTGATTTTATGTATAATTATCTTTTTTTTTGTTTTCATTTTCTTTAAAATTTTCTCTTTGTTTACATGTTCCATCCATGGTATTCTCAGCATTCTTCTGTTGAACCACATTGTTGCCTCTTCATCCGTCATTAAATTTTCTACTATTCACTGCCATTTAGGAAGATTGATATTAGCAGTTCAGTATTTTATTTTTATTTTTCCTGTACTGAAAAAAAATGGAATTTCTGAACTGTTAACAACAAAAACACTGAAGGGGAGTTCAATTGTCTGAATAAAATTTGGAATGTTAATGACTTTATTCTGAAAGTCATGCATAATATATGCCACCACTTGTCTGGCAAAGACATTAAGAGTTCCATTCATTAAGCTCTCTTATTTGAAACATGATGTTCAACTTGCCTGATAATAAGCTTAGATCCAATGTTTTTTTAACCATCTTAATGGTATCTTTAGAGGAAAAATGTAAAACTAGCAGCACTTTAATTTATATTAGAATTTTATTTTCTTATAACTAGATTTAAAACATGTATTTACCTTTCTTTCATTTTGTAGTTTGATGAACAATAAAAATAAAGGCATATTTATTAGCATTTTCATTAGTTCTTATATATAAAAACTTACAGGAACACACATGCTTCTAACGCAAGTTGCAATATAATTTCACTCCCATTTAATGTCCACTACAAAATCTGGTATTCATTATAAAAATTAAAAAGAAAATATTAATTATAGATGTAAAATAGAAAAATTCCAATTCTACGTTTCTACTTATAATCTATTAACATTTACTAATACTAAAATTGGTCAGTAGGCATTAATGGGTTAAAGCAGCAACTTACTGTTTTACTTTATAACAAGAGTTATTTACTAAGCTTAGTTTAGACTCCTTGTAATGGTAGCACCAGGCAAAAAATGAAGAAACGAGAGCTCGACTGGTGAAGAATTTGAGTTTATTTTGCATGTAGTGTTTACAGTTACGTGAGTTCTTCAATGTGAAACTAAAAATAAACATAAACAGTTTTTTATAAACTTTGTCATAGATAAAAACATTAATTTGAAATATATATATAGAGAGAGAGAATTTCACATGTGCTTACCTCTTTTTCACCTCACATTTTCCTGCTGACGCAAACACAGTTGTTGCTACAATAACACGTGCTCTTTAAAGATGTGGTGTATGTACCTTTGTGATAATCTACAAACAAAAACGAGAAGTAACTCTCACTCACTCACATGGCTCCCCAAAATAAGAATTATTTTATACAAAAACTTATTTATAAATGTATGTAAACTTATGGCTCCTCGGTGTGGATTTCCCTGGTCTGTTTCATGCACTAGCACAAGTTTTTGGATTAGCCATTCCAATGTTGGTAATGGTCTGCCTCTCCTACCATTCTTGTCTAAGGCCCTATCTCCAACTGAAACCCACACAATGTAGACGAAACCATCGTTGTTGACAAGTATCAATAATGCGTCCTAACTGCCACGCATTTCTGGTTAATTTGTCAGCCTTGATTAGAACAACATCTTCAATAGCAGGTTTATGTACCATTTGCTTCTCTAGAGTTCTCTCAATAGGTGTCATTGTGGAGATCAATGTTTGCAAGTCCCTTGGCTCTAGTCTTTAGCGGAATTGCATTCAGCACTTGCTTAGAATTTGATAGGAATTTGTGCAAAACTAGGCCATATCTTTCACACAGAGCAATACTTCTGTCACTGAAACTTACTGCTTCATTTGGGTTAGAAACTGACTTTAATCCATCATCAACATAGAAGTCTCTTTTTATAAAATTTGCAACAGCTGCTCCAAATTCCAGTTCTCCTTCAGTTGCAACCTTCTTGAGTGCAAAATTTGAACAGCCAGGAGACAATGCTGCACCAAACAGGTGTCTTGTCATATGGTATGTGACTGGTTCACATTACCATTTTCCTACCACAGAAACCCAAGATAGTTCCAATGATACACATTAACCTTGAATTGCAAAGACATTTGTTCAGTGTTGCAAATGAATGCTTATGGAATTGACAAAGAATTCCACAAAGTGATTTAATGAGATCTGGTCCCTGCAGAAAAAGCTCATTTAATGATTGGAACTGTGCGCTGACATGAAGCTTCTGTGACATGACATGACATGAAGCTTCTGTGAATGATAAACTCCATGATGAGGCAAGTACCATTCATGTCCATTTTGTACTCCATGGCTCTCTACAGTCACCTTTTTCTGCAGATTTTCTGTCTACCAAATCCTCCATAAATTCAGTCTACTAACTGTGATGTGACTGATACTTCCAGAAGCGTTTTTTCAGGTGCCGCACATGTTGTGCTGCTAATTCTGTTTTTCGGCAAACAGGGCATAGAATTTTGGAATGGCAAAGGCATTTCATAATGTCTACTTTGTATTTGAATTCCCTCCTCCATAATAGATAAATTTTCTATTTTCTTGTGATAGTGATTTGGATTTTCCAAAATTTTCCCTGAAGTCTAACTCAAACAACTTAGCAAGGTTATTTTGATCAATGATCTCTTTAATCCTGTTCTTCAGTGAAAATATATTATAAATATTTCTGGTCTAGAATTGCTGAGTACAGATAAGTCCTTGGATACATCATTGACCACAATATGATGACTAATTCCTACACTGTCACCATCTACATCTTCCATCTACTATTGGACAAGACCCACTATCAGTTTGTTGACCATATGGTCCATCAGTCAGTGCAATGTCTCTAAGCGTCAACATTTTAGTACTATTCTACCCAGTTAATAGTCTGACTCTGCAGTCCTGTAAAGGCAGAATCAAATTTGCCATATGTCCCAGATGAGATGATAATCCTGTTACTTTGGGAATGTGATTGGTTTTCTGGGATTATATCTCCAATGTAAGTACCAGGCAGCTTAATTCTTTGTTGACTATTGAAGCCACAGATCATAAGCCCTTGTATCTTACTCCTATCTATGACTTTGTTTTCCATGTGTATAATAGATAACTTGAGCTTCACAGACTCCCCTACAAGTCCTAGTAATTTGCAAGTATTCTGCAAAATGAATGTTGTATCTGATTGAGTCCAGTATTGCATACACAAGTCCTTCTACATTTGAGTTATTTACATGAGATACATATACAGGCAGGATCATGGAAGTTTTCCAGGATGACTCATTAAGGTTGCTTTAGATGTGCCATTTACAAGCTTCACTGAATTTTCCTTCCCCTCACTATTTGTCCTTTCCTGTGGTTTAATATCCCATGCAATGATGTAGGGTGCAGCTCAGAGCGATTATTGCACTCCTTCATTTGCTTGCACTTCTGTGAAACATGTCCATAATGTAGGCAAGTAAAACAAAGCCTTTTCTCCCTTGCAAATTACTTCCTATCTGTCAGATTCTTAACTTTAAATCTCATATAGGCATCTAACTCATGGATACTTTGTCAAAGAATACACCTTTCTTTCCTGGTAAAGGTCTTTATTTTGTTCTTCATAGATGGTCACAAATGTTTGGCCATCACGACAATAGTGAGCACGTCTTGCTTTATTTATAACTGGTTTATCCTTCACTACACCTGATTGATCATTTTTGATGGACTAAAGTGAGGTTATGGGATCTGTGGCTATCCTGGCTTGTTTATTTACAAACTCCATAAAATCTCCAAAGGGAGGAAATTTACCTTTTTTTTTATCTTTCTGTTGTGCCATGATACCTACCCATTTTGTTATGACCCAATCCAATATTTTGCAGAGCATCTTCCTGTTTTTTTCTTTCATCATTCAGGAGACCAAGATTTCCTATACTCCATATAGCAATATGACATTGCCTTAAGAAGCTTGCATATCTTTGTAAAGCTACTCCATCCTTGGGATTGATCCTTTGCCATTTCTCAAGTTTGTCTCTAAAAGTGTTCACTACCACAAATGAATTTCCATAACATTCCTCAATCAGCTTCTTAGCTTCATCAAAGGCATCTTCTGGTGAAAGCAGAAAATAGCCTTCTACAGTGATTCTCTCTGCTGCTGGACTTTTCCTATGCTCGATTAAGGTCTGAAATGCCACCTTCCAACCTGAATATCTCATTGGATCTCCATAAAACACACTAGGCTCAGGAGGCAGTAAACTTGCTCAGCTAGACATTTAGCAAGGTCTATCAAAGCCTTCTCTAAATCATTTTCAGCACTTAGCTGTGCTTGCTCTAAATAAAAATCATTCCTGGGTGGTATGGTATAAATAACTAAGGGAACTGGTGATACAGTATTACCAGTTTGACAAAGTTCATAAGGCTGACTATGACAAGCATTAATCTGAGTATTGGTAGAATTATTGCCAACTGTTGCCATGGAATGTACTTGCTGATGAGGCACAAAATGAGGTTTGTCTGGGTTCAAGAGATTGGTAATAGGAATTTAATCCTAACGTCTTTGGTGGGATAACCTGCTTTAAACAATGTTGGCTCCTCTAGTAACAAACCCAACACAGTTGATGATGGTCCCTCTGTGTGGCCAGACATAAGTTCAATCATGTCAGCTTGAGATCTTTAAAAACTCATTCACTTGTTGATTGGTATCAATTTTGGATGGTAGTTGCGCCATTCTAGAGGAAGTGTCTTGTATATTCTCCAGGACATCTAACTTAGCTTTGGGCTACATCAATTTTTATCTGTGTTCTGACTCTTTCTAAACCTGCCTTATGCTTTGCTTGTATATCTATGTACCTTAATTTTAATTTGATAGCAGCTGCTTCAACCATTGTTTCAGTTGATTTCCTTAAAGTGTGTGAAATGATCTAGAAGTCCATGATAAACAACTTTTAGATGTTCTGCTAGAACTTCTAGACACAGTCAAACTCTAAGTCATGTAGCAAGACATAATATTTCTTAGAGTAGTATGATAATCACTAGCTATCACATCATATCTGCTCTGAAATTCTTGAGTACTCCTAGTTTCTGATGCCTTGTCATTACTGCAAGCGTGATGTGTGTTCAGTTTTATGTACGTGTCCTCAAGTCCCTCTATTATATCTATTAAAATTTTGACTACTCCTTATCTCCTGTGTGTCCTTGAATTTGACATGAGTACTTCAATAGAATTTGCTCATTTACACCATTGAGCAATATAAGCAGTGAAGTCCTTTAGTGAGGTTTTCAAGCTTCCAGTTGAAACCCTCTTCTGTCATTTTGTGACCACTGGTAAATTGATACAATGAATTATCTTCAGAGTGTACTGCTTGTAGCTGACCTTCAGACATTGTGACAGATTACCTCTAACACTGCTAAATTAATAATATATTTCAATGGTAAATATTCTAAGTGACCTATCACAAATTACAAAGAAAATAACATGAACAAATACACACACACTATATATATATATATATATATAAACTACGTAGAGATACAAAAAAAAAATAATAAATTCATTAGGGCATGAAAAGGTTTGATATCAGTGGCAAGCAAACACAAATTCTCACTTAAACAACATCGCATGCATATAAAGGTTGTAACCTTTGACTAAAGTAAAAGAAAAGATAGTAAGGTAATAATTTGCAAAGGTACTATGGATATGTAGGCAAGTATATACAGAAATATACTACACTAATGTTCATAAAGTTCACAAGAGTCCCACAGAAATGTGTGGCACAGATATTTCCAGATACCAAAATTTGTTTTAGCCCAAATTTGGCAATATCTTACATCCATCTACTGAGGGTGTTCTCGTAAGTCATAGTTCAGTGTTTGTAGCTGGTTACCATTCACAAATAACATGAAGTTATAAAGAGTTTCACTGTAACAGTAGCACTGGACAAAAAATGAGGAAATGAGAGCTCAACTGCTGAAGAATTTGGGTTTATTTTGCAATTAGTGTTCGCTGCTACAACACTCATAGGTTCTTCAACATGAAACTAAGAATAAAGTTTTTTTTTTTTTTTTTTTTTTTTTTTATAAACCTTGTCATACATAAAACAATTTGAATATATATAGAATTTCACATGTGCTTACCTCTTTCCCCTGCTGATGTAAATGCAGTTGTTGCTACAATGATGCATGCTCTTAAAGATGCAATGTGATAAGGTACCCAGCAAAGAAAAGAAGGGAGGTAACTTGTACTCATTTACACTCGTACAAGGCTACAGTACCTGAATTCCAGATTCCATAGACTAGTAAACATAAATTTAATTATTTTATCTCTGTAGATGCCTTTCGCTACATTATAAAGCTGATTCAAACTATTGTTCTCATCTTTTATTTTTATAGATGTTGTTATAGACACATTTTAGCCAAGTACACTCTGGTCATTTTCCAACATCAGTTATCTTGGCTATATGGGGTATTTTATATATTGATTGTGTTCTGACAAAAAAGTAACACAAGAGTAGCTAAAATGTCATGTTTCTAGTAATTTATGATAAAGCTGAGAATAAGTGAAAGTATATTGACAGTTCCTCATCTCAATAATCAAAGAAAATTCATAATAAATTTGATTCTGTGTATACCATAAGGGACAAAATACAGGCTTTTCTTTTCTGTAAACAACTACTTTTCCTGGCCTAGACATAAAATTCTCTCTTCCTTAATTGTACTTCTTCTTTCTGCTACTAAAATTTTCTGTTTTCAAAATTCTTTACTAACCTATTGAATTAGATAAGATACACATTTTACTGAGCTAAATCCCAAATCTTCCTGATATACACTGTATAATTTTCAAATGTTTCTTCTCGCTGTTCTCATTGTGTTTATTTATAAAGATTTTTTCTTTCTCCTGTTGCCATATCATTTTTTTCTCTTCTTTCTACAGCAATGGGCAGTACATTGTGGCTGGCTCTGATGATGGTTCATTCTTTATTTGGGAGAAGAGTACTACCAATATTGTGCGGGTGCTTCGTGGTGATGAATCTATAGTCAATTGCTTACAGCCACATCCCAGCTACTGCCTTTTGGCTACAAGTGGTATTGATCCTGTTGTGCGATTGTGGAGTCCACGGGCTGAGGTAAGTTCTCTTCCTCCTGTTTCACTTGTTTAATCTCCATCTTTTCTGATTCAAATGTTTAAAAAAAAAAAGACTGAAAACCAAAGATATTAATATAATCCCCATGAATAACTGTTGAAAGTTTTGTTTGTTTATTAATTAAAACTGCTTGCAATTTTGAATACTAATTTCATGTTTTGTCAAGCAAATGTCAGTATTTTAATCATTAAAAATTTTTGAGCCTTTATAAAAACTGGACTACTTTGCAAGTTTCCAGCTTGCACAGCTTGACTTTCTTAGTAAATCTGTAGTTCCTGGAAAGTGTGGGGGATATTTTAAGTAGGAAATTAACAACAGTAATTAATTAATGTAAAAATATTTAAAATAGTAAATATATTTTGGATTTCTTAATTGCTTAAAATTGAAGTATTTATTTTCTGGAACCAACTGGTCACTTAAAATAAGATTGCTTTGTGTCAGTTATCTTTTGGAAGCACGTGTGCATGTGTTTTTTGACAAATGTCAGTGGAAAATAGAAACATAGACATTTAAGAAAAACGTTTGTGATCTTATATAAATTATATCAATTATTTTCCATATCACCAGTAGAATTAAGCTGATTAAAAATGTTGAATTTCTCATTTTACAAGTCAGCATTCTGATAATTCTGTTATCTAGTTCCAAATTTAAGATATAAATTATTGAAAGATGTTTATTTTTAATTATAAAAATGTTCTCTTTTAAACCATTTTACTGCTTGTTATATTTGCTATGGTTGGCTAAATGTGTTGAAATTTTTTTTTTTTTTTTTTTTTTTCTAAATGTCTGGACTGATTTTAAACTTGGAATGTTATCGAGACATTGCACGAATTTATTAATTAAATAATTTCAGAAAGATCAAATTTCTTTATAAAGTGAAGCATGATTCCAGCAAAGCCTAAATCTTGACTGAATAATCTAACCTTAAGAATGCAATATTTGTCAAATTTTGCAGAAAAATTGAATTTTATAAAAGGCTTAACAGAATTAGTCCAAACATTTTGAACTGATTCACACACGGTTTTATTGAGGTACTTTTTTTAGTTACAGAAACTAGTAGATCCCTTAGCTCTCTACACTTAGCCCAAATCTGATTATTTTTTTCCTATTTGTATCCTTCCAATTTATTCGAATTTTACTCCTTCACAAATTTACATTCTAAAAACTAGACCACTCCAACCTGATCACCAGATTCTCTGCACAGTACTTTTATTCAAAGTTGGTGCTTGAGACAACAGTGTGTCTGTTCTGCTTCTTGCAGTTCTACCAGCCAACAATGGCATCACTGGGACTCCAAAAGGACCCACCTCCACAGTATCCAGGCCAGATTGAAGACTTCTACGATGCCAACTCTGACTGCAATGAATATATCTGTACCTTAGATTCAACAGATGATTGATAAACAATGTAGATTGCTGCAAGAACAATAGACTTCAATATACTGACAGTAGAGCCTCTCTATTCAGGAGTTCTTTGTACATCAACTGGAAAATAACATTATTATTGTTATTTGTAATTTATTGAATCATTCCTCTTGCAAAAAGAAATATCTATTAAATGACTGGCAATTAGTGTTGATGTGGACTCACTAGTTTCTAATAACAGCTATATTTCTGAGCTTGAAATGTACCTTTTGTAATACTCTACTGGTTATGGAACAATTAATGTAGTATTTATTCGTGGTTAAATACAACTTGTAACTATTCCAATCTTGTCAAGTTTCACATTGGTTTTTATTGCCATTGAATGACAGTTTTTATTCTTTCATAGCCATTAACA